TGATTGATTGATTGTCTGATGCATCTATTGACCGATTGATTGATTGAATGATTGATCGCTTGTTTGATTGATTCTCTGATTGCTGGAATGATTGACAGAAGGAGGGGGTGAGGGAACGAAAGGAGGGGGCAGGGGAACTGGAGGAGGGGGTGGTGGAGGGGTTGCCACATCCGCCCGGCGGGGCTTTGTTAATGGACGGGCGCTGTGTTGGCGTCTGTGGTTGTCGCTGTGGTCGGTCGACGTAGCTGTTTTTGTGCAGCATGCCTTTGAAAGGAAGCCATTATGAGAAAGACACTTTTTTTTTGTTTAAAAAAAAAAAAAAACCCTACGTCCACGTGGGCGAATGCATCTTTCTCGCGTGCGCCGTGCGTTGCCTTTTTTGTGCTCCTCTCGCCCATGTCCATGCTTGTGATTTGTGTATGATCTCGGAGAGGAGGGATCGTCCAGTAATTGCATGCGTCTTTAATACTGCCATGGACGACTTGTGAATATGGTGTGTGATATTTGGTGCAACTTTCAGCCTTTCTACCGCACCATTTGATTTTATTCGCACACGAATACTGCCGACTTCAGTCGTTCGAGTTTGTCACGATGATTGCCATTTCCGTATTCATTCACCGAATGATTGATTGATTGATTGTTTGATGCATCTATTGACCGATTGATTGATTGATTGATTGAATGATTGATCGCTTGTTTGATTGATTCTCTGATTGATGGAATGATTGATTGATTGATTGATCAGTCGATGGATTGATTGATTGATTTACCTATCTATTGAACGATTGACTGATCGATTGAATGATTGATTGATCGATTGATCGATTTCAGTGTTTGAACCCGTGGATGTGACTCCGATGGGATCATCACAGAAGACATGCAGCACACAACCAAGCACAGAATAAGCAGGATCCGAATTTCAACCGTAACATGGCCACACAACTATAGAAGGACAACAAAAACAAGTGTTGGAGAAGTTCAAAACACAGAGTAAAACCGATAGCGCCACCATATTAAAATCGTTGATGGAGCACCGCCCATCGTTCTACAAATGTTTAGCAAGAAAAGAACACTGACAATACAAAAACGTGAAATAAATCTACACTTAAAAAAAAACAAAAATGCACGGACCTGACGAGGAACGTTCCCCC